TCAATTATAACATAACCAAAGTAAAGCGCGCGCTCTGATTGGTCAATTTAGCGTCCCCCATTTGCCCATGGGTGTACGCTGCTGACGTGAGCAAATGCAAAGACTATTTTTCCGCGCGCGCTTGTTTTTTCTGGTCACGTAAGATTTGTTAAATAAAAGGGAACTCTTTAGCTACAATGTATCAATGTTATGTTATAAAACAAATGGTAAACACCACACCGTACACTATTGAGTTATGGATGCACTTGGGAGGTTTGCTAAGCACTCAAGAAGCTAGAGTCACTCTCGGCTATCGCCTCGAGTGACTCTTACGTTTCTTTCGTGCTTAGCAACCTCCCGCGTGCATCCATAACTCAATAGTGTACGCTGTGGTGTTTACCATTTGTTAAATAGATGATGTACAATAAACTTAATGACAGCGTAGGAAGGCCAGACGAGGGCAAATATTTGGCTCGGATTCATGTGTACACTGCAAAGAAATTATCATTAAATTTCTTTGAACTCGTCAACTTACGTTCTCTCCCAAAAATACTGAGGCGACAGCGTGTAGTGCCTGTTGTGGCCATGCTGTAAACCAGTCAATACTGCAGTTATTGACCAGACCAGGGAAGTTACGGCATCGTGTCCTCAACGTGTCTCCCACGGGTGACATGGCTAAGACGATGTGCAGATTGTTTGCACATTTGTTAACAAAGTACTGCCAAATGGACTCCCGTGCGGGTGGTACTCCGGCTTTGTTTGCCTCATCACGAACCTAAAGGGAAGAAAAAGAAAAGGCATTTACTCTTGTTTAGTAAATCAAGCATTGAAATAGCTTCTTATCCAACAAAACGGGTTTCGATGGAGGATCGTGAAACTAAAACCAGAGTAATCTCAATGGTTGATAATCTCAAGCACACATGATCCCTAGGGGTTTACAACTGCCAATTTAATCATCACCTGACCAATGATTCCCTCTTTCTCATCATCCGGGAAAAGCGCGGGAACCATTCCTGACGTCAGCATGTTGTTGATGAGCTCGAGGAAACCTGGGAATGCGACAAAACATCAATACAATGCAGATCACTGCCATCTATTTTTGGTGTTCTTTGTCGTACTGGTGTGCCAATATTGTTTAAGAAATTTACCTTCCTGTGCTACATGAGCATCAGTGAACAGGAACACCATTTTCTTGTTTTCCAGACCAAGTTTGGAATAAAGTCCCTTCAGGTCGTCTCTGAAGGAATTCTCATCATAGCCCCTCGTGAGGGTGATCTCATACACCTCGCATCCGGCAGAAAAGGCGCCTAACTTGGTCAGGGACTGTTTACCACTACCTCCTACCCCTACTAAAAGGGCGTGACCTTTCTCCATGCGGATCACGCGGTGTACACGTGTCAGATGCTCGATGGCGTCATCAAAAAGAACTAGGTTCATTGGCACATGGTCCATGTTGTACTCCTCCAGAATCTGTGATGAGAAGGGAAGAATTCAAATTCTTAAAAAAATAAAAACAACTCAGCGGCAGGAACCTACACGTTTTTTCTCACATACGACAATTTTAAACATGCTGACCGCTTTGTTCTCAGAAAAGTTTTCTCGTCCTCGAATTTGAACTCAATAACCTACAGTTAACTTCAAAAGAAAGTAGTAAAGGTTACGAACCTCATCAAAAATAGCCTTGGCTGCTTCATAATCCACGATGTCTTCATACAACCGCGGATCTTCAGTCAAAGCATTGCGATAATCTCCAAACAAGATCGGCTCTCGATTTACGGTGTCCACATAACTGGTAAAATTCTGTTCTACAAGTTCGCTGATGTATCCCTGAAGAGGGGAATGAACCGAGACTCGTAAGTACGAGAGGCAGTAAACGAAACTCGTAGAGGAGACAGACGATTAAGTCGGTATTAAATGTTACTGAACCCACATCCCTTTTCTAAAATACCAAATTTTGACAGGATTTCCTCCTGACACTTTTTTAATCATTTCCAAAGCAAGACTGAGTTCAGAACGAATCAGTTGGTAATCATCTTGCGTCAGTTTCCAAGGCAGACAATCTCTTCTCTAGAATGAATTTATGGACAATGGTTCAGTTCGGAGAGTAAAAAATTCCCACCACTTCGATATCATCTGGTCAAGGATGAAAGTATTAGAGTAGATGACTGGACAACAACATTTTTCCAATGCTGTTCACAAGTTTTCTTAGCAACCAGTATTCCTCAGCAAACAAGCTTGCTCGTGTAAATGCAGTCTTCGCATAAACCCCTTACACCCTTAACATCAGTCTGCATATTCTCCATACCGTTCTCTATACATTTCCTTTGGTGCTGACAAGGAGAATTTGTTTAACAATCAAAGCGTCTTAGGTTAGCAATCATTTATTTTATTCTCATGATCGTAATGAATGATTCAGTTAATGACCGCTCGTGGCGATCGAGAAAAGAATGAAAATGAAAATTACTTACATTCACGATCTTCTTATCCGACGAGCTCGTCAAGCGATCGTAGAACACTCGGAGACATTCGTTCTTCCACAGTCGGACGAATTGCCCGGGGGTATCAAACCTATCGGGTGTGCTTAAGCACAATCCCTGGGTTACACGGGACAAATCCCGAAGATTGAAAATGTAGTGAAATTTGGAAGGTGTCGGTGGTAGATTTTGTATGATCTTGTTGTAAAACTGCAGTGTCGAGGCTGTGATCTTGGAGGCTAGCTCTCTGACTTCCTTTTTGAAAGGTTCCAAATGCCCGTTAAGAATGGAATAGTAGATTTTCGTCAAGGATTCTTGTGAAGGAAAAGTGACGTTGAACACGCTGAACAGTGAGATGAAACGCGGGTCTACTTCGTTACGACCACCACCCGGCTGGAAAAGAAAACGAAAAAGGAAATGAAATGAGGAGAACAAAAACATGTGTGAGAACCACAGATATGCATTATGAAAGGCATACGATAAAGAGAGAGAAAAAAAGAAGCTACTGCGTTAATAAACAAGAGGAAGAAAGCGTTTTTTTAATTCATGACAGTAATTAATTTATTTTCCTTTGGAAACTCGGTTTAGGACTCAAAAAATGTACATCCGACAGAAATCTTATCGCTGCAAAACCCAAGGCACGTGTTTAAGCCAGCACGTTTGGGTTGGGAAAATAACTTTTAATCTTGAATCTGATAGAACTATTACAGAGCGTAGGAAAGCAAAATCAAGGAAGCCCCACTGCTATCGACGCTCACTTATAAATTTCTCTAATTTAACCTACTGCACCTTTCCCATAGCGGCCACGAAGCCAATATCCCTGAAGTTCTTCCAGATGAGTTCCTTTCCTCTGTCATACATCCCTCCCCTCTCAAGGAGTAATTTCAGCAATGCGATTGGTTGCTGTGTTCCATACTCATCAACCTGTGGCATGTTCATGTCATCCATGAACACCAGCAGTCTCTTACCCATGGGGGGACCGTAAGTATCTTTTGTTCTCTTCTCTACGTTTGCCTCGAGATTCCTTTGTACGTCCATGGATGTCGTTCGAGACGAAAAGTTGATGTTGAGAAGAAGCTATCAGACAGAAACACAGAGATAAAAAACAGATGCATAACTAAACAAGGTAAAGCCGAAAGGAATGGTTGGCTCTTCAAGAGAAAAACACAAAATATCACTTGATCACTGAAGTTTCTGAATGTACAACATACCGTTGCATCTTTATCTAGTCCCCTCAAGAAATTGGATGTAGTTGCCGATTTGGATGTACCGGTCTCCCCCACAAGTACCACAGGTCTCTTAATACTGACCATCAGCTCAAGCAGCCATGTTGTCCTAACAGTGTCCACAGTAGGCACCAAAATCTCCGAGAACTTTTTCTCGGGGTCGTGGACGTACTCAGGGATGACGTCGACCCAGGGCACCCAAAGGCACTTTTTCGTGTTGAAATAATACTCGAAAATCGTAGGCTGGGCGCTCGGGATCTCACCTAAAATAAAAAAAAAAAAGTGTGACAATAGTTTGAAAACCACTTCTTGTTAAGTCTTTATAGCAACAACGATTCTAAACAAAATTAAAACAAATTATACGGCTTTCATGCGTAAACTATTTTCTTACTTCTCGTAACTTTTCTGCCTGACATTATATCGATCAATATTGTAAGGAGAAATTACTTTTGGGTCATCTATGGGAGTAACAGGCTTAAACTAATTAAACATAACAAGACGTTTAACACCGCCTAGAAACTAATTGAATCAGTTCGTTGAAGAAATTGCATTCAAACCTGGTTTAACAACGCTTCCTTCAGCTGGATTCTGAGGCAAAGACGCGATCCTCTTCACAAATCCATCGAATACAATCCGCCCATCCTCCAACAGGCCTCCACCCAGCGACCAAGTCAGTGATGTCAGGAAAACAGCCTCTGTTATCTCAGTTCCCAGGAATTGAGCGTTTTCTGCAGGGGGGAGCAGTGCATCTAGCATCTGGGACAATTGTACAACCTAAAGGAAGTAGAAATGAGATTACAAATTATACTTAACGGCTGAGAGAATTAAGTTTAAAATTTGGATCCCTGGATGTGATGACAGATTATGAAATGTTACACTTTTCTTCCTCTACCAACATATTTTGGATCAATGTCAGGACGCACCTACCCATCCCTTAAACCAATAAAAGTCAACTGATAACAAATAAGGGTTTGGGGGAGGGGTAGGTGCGCAGTCGCTTAAATACTAACATTGATGCCATATTTTGGATCAATGTCATGACGCACCTACCCCCCTTAAACCAATAAAAGTCAACTGATAACAAATAAGGGTTTGGGGGACGGGTAGGTGCGCAGTCGCTTAAATACTAACATTGATGCCATATTTTGGATCAATGTCAGGACGCACCTACCCCCCCTTAAACCAATAAAAGTCAACTGATAACAAATGAGGGTTAGGGGAGGAGTAGCTGCGCAGTAGCTTAAATACTAACATTGATGCCATATTTTAGATCAATGTCAGGACGCACCTATCCCCCCTTAAACCAATAAAAGTCAACTGATAACAAATGAGGGTTAGGGGAGGAGTAGCTGCGCAGTAGCTTAAATACTAACATTGATGCCATATTTTAGATCAATGTCAGGACGCACCTATCCCCCCTTAAACCAATAAAAGTCAACTGATAACAAATGAGGGTTAGGGGAGGAGTAGCTGCGCAGTAGCTTAAATACTAACATTGATGCCATATTTTAGATCAATGTCAGGACGCACCTATCCCCCCTTAAACCAATAAAAGTCAACTGATAACAAATGAGGGTTAGGGGAGGAGTAGCTGCGCAGTAGCTTAAATACTAACATTGATGCCATATTTTCGTATCAGCTCGTCGATGTCAGTTTTTACTCATTGTCAGAGAGAGGTATGGCGAGTATCAAATCTCTTTCCCGAAAAAAAAAACTGTTAAGTAGTTAGCAAACATTTTTCTAAACAAAACCATCTCCTACCATGTTAAGATTAGTCAGAGGAATAATCGTCTTCAGCTTCTTTCCGATTTTTCCTTCAATGATTCCTTCCAGAATCAAGTCGATACAGGGAGGCACATATTTCTCAAATAGTCTGTTAAGTTCTTCTCTCTCCTTATCACTTCCTCGAGCATTGCACCATTTCTGCCAGTAAGGATTATAGCCCAGGTTCTTGGGATCGACGTACACCATTCCGCAACGAGACACAGTGGCCGGAGATGCGTATCGAAGATCTGAAACCTGAGTTAGGAATTGAGATGTTTTAGTTCATTATTAAAGTTGAAATTCTCTGTTTATCGTCACAGAGTTCGAAACATATAAGTTAAAAAGCTTAGCTTTCCGGGCTGAAATTACCCAGTTGAAAATTTAGAAAGACCTTAGCTAAACAACATTCTTTTTTTAAAGTAATTTTTAACTAAAAATTTCGTAACGACACATGCCATTCAACGGAGTCAACAATGCAACAATATGAAAAGGAAGGTTTCAAAAGCTTTGGTCGATGTTCTAAGCAGAGGTTACCTCAAACAGCAAGGCGCAGTGTTTCTGGAGCCGAATCCTCTCGCCATTAGCCAAAGTCAGCAGTCTGTTGTCGTCCATAACAGAGTTCATGTTCTCTACCCACAGGGCGTCCACATCACTGTCAAACACGATATACTTACGTTCGTTTTTATCAGTGGGTTTGTTGATCTCACGGAAGATGTTCGACAGTAATCCATCAGTCCAGTCCCTTGTGACAGGATCTAATGTTCCGTACAACTCCACTACTGTGCATGCTTTGGCATTCATAATATGCATCTTCGTAGTGATGCCCAGACTGGCGGATTAAAAAAAGTTGGGTCTATAAAATGGAAGACTAGTTGCGCAAAAAGATGATGGCAGCGCTAAAAATGAGGGCCTTCTCGCAAGCTATTGACGTAGTTTAAAAATTTCTCTTACCGTGTCTGCGCCTGCGCTAACGTATTAATGACAACAGTCTTTCCTCCTCCAGTGGGGCCCACGATCATAGTTGTATGTCGTGTCAACATGGTCTCGTACATTTGAACAACTTTATCGGCCTGTTACGCGGAGATAGCATGTAAATTAGTAGAACAACTAATCCATCTCTAAACTACCTCAAGCAAAACATTTAAAGAGCAATATGGTGTCGAAACTTCACGGAAATCAATTTAGAGAACAAAAAGGTGACTCAAAGAGAAGACAATTTATTCACAAAGTTTCCTTTCCTCTCAGAGCCAAACAGTTTGCACGCTCCACAGACTGCTTACAAAAGGCAATAAAGTTTTTGAGAGGTCAACATTGTATTAGCTAGTACAAAATATTTTCCAATCAAATCCATCTTGTTCGCGGGGAAACGAGAAGAGTTAACTTCCACTTCCTTTCTCGCAGTGAGGCTTTATAAACTATCTTTTACCTGATGAGGAAGCAATATGTATTTGTTGTCCTCTAACACCGATTCCACTGCGTCGTTGAAATTTGGGTATCGTACTCTTGGACAGTCAAGGCCTGGGAACAAGTCTGCTATGAGGCCGAGGAAGAGTGGTACGTCTTCAAACACAAACTTTGGCAAGTTCATGTCACGTAACGCACGCATCAACACTACATCCTGAAGGGAGCAAAAATTCAACAGAGAATTTGAGATTGCAGTAGGTAACTACAAACCACGACTCCTAGTTGAGGGTCACCGTAGCTAAGGGCAGTTAAAGAATTAGGAAGGGGGTTTACATACGTCAGCTAAAGACAAATTTGTTTCTACACTCGTTAGAAACTTGGACACGAGTGACTTTCCCTTTTAAAATAAACACTACTAGAGGTGCTCAGCGTTTTAACTTTGAATGTACTAAGGTTTTTAGTGACACGCGACTTTTTCAAGAAAGGAACTACTGCATGGGTAAGAAAACCGATGGTCTTATGGCTCAGGCATGACAGTGTTTTAATTGATTTAGCACCTGAGTGTTTCCATAGTTATGTAATCGTTACGCTGTTTCAGATACGATGTAAAACTAACCTCGCTCAGATCAGGGGAACCTCTCTTCAACTCTCCTGCCATCACAAGCACAGCCTTTAGTGCACGAAGCCCAAAGTCGTAATGAGATTGTTTGGACAGCTGTCCTGACGCAAGTTTGTACAATACTGTCATCTTTTTGGCAAGGACCTATGCAAAAAGGAGGACTTTACAATTATGTTTTATTCGATGAATGTTTGAGTTAACGACCTAAGTTTCTAACGCCAACCATAAAAGCCAAGTAAAACAACTCCTGATCACTTTCGACACTTAATTCAAACGCTCTCAAAGTCAAGCTTTTTTTTCTAGCCTATCTTACCTTGGCCATTAAAAACCCTTCGGAGAAAAGCATGATCTCGCAGATTTGCTGCAGGTCTGGCACAATACACATTACAGGTCTGAACAGAGCTTTGACACTCTCAGGGAGTTCCGTACGACCGGCGTAGCCTGGGTTCATGGTAATGAAGATCCCCATGCGACCATCCAGTGCTATCTCTGTACCTTCAAACTGTTCAAGGAGAAGAAATGAGTTTACAATTCGTTTAACAACTACAAGGAACAGCTTTCGTTTATATCCTCACGGAGACCTGGGATTTTTTGTTGTCTCACATTCATGACAAAGTTTCACATCATACTTTAAAGCAGTTCTTGACAAAATAATTAAAACGACCAATTAGATCAATTCACCAACGACACTTAAAGTAAAGATAAGCAAACTGCCTGAAGCGCGGGACTTGAAAACGCGTGTGACCAAGGAGTCCTGGTTCTAGTTTTGCATCTAATTATTTGAGAGGATGGTGCAAGTTTTCTAAACCAATCACAGGGCAAAGTAAAGCAAAGCCAATGCAATCCAACTTCTCTAAACTGTCAACAGTATGTAATTCTTGAGGGTTATACGTAGACGTGAGTTCACCTGTAATCTCTTGAGATGGTTGCTAAGTGAGTTTTGTAGTGTCTTTATCTGCGTGGAGACCACTGATAATACAGACACATCAATACGGTTGAACTCGTCAAAACAGCCCCAGGCTCCACACTGAGCCAGGCCAGAGAAGATCTTCCCGATGGACTAGAGGAGAAAAAAGTAAGAAACTCGTGCATTGGTTTACTGATATGGGAAATAACTGCTACAAATTCGCTTCCCTCAGTTCCGAGTCACACACTTTAAAGGATGGCTGGCAACGACAAATACAGCTCTTAAAACTAGGAAGCTGTCATACAACAACGGTTCTACTATCACTCTATGCAGGTAGTCGAAGCCATCTCTCTCACTCAATTGCGTGACACACAAGCGTGACACAAATTAACCATATCACATAACATCCGCTAAATCTGTTTAGCCCACCTTGTAGTCCATACCCTCTCCACAGTTAGTTACGACACACAGCAACCCCAGAGCTTTAGCCAGATCTTTCACCGTCTCGGTTTTTCCTGTACCAGCTGGCCCTGCGGGAGCGCCACCAAGGTACATGGACAAGGCCTAGAAAAAAGGGGGGAAAAGAAGCGTGAAACTGCTATGCAGTACGATTATAAAACACCAAACGTTCATCTGACAACTACACTACCTTCCCCCCCTTTAATTTTGTTACACACATATGCACCTCACCTGAGAGATAGTCAGGTAGATTCTGTCTGTCAGGGGGGTAATGACCAGTCGTCCATTCAGTCCCATGTACTCGTATCCATAACCAAACTCGCCTGTACACTGACGCACCATCAACTCATCTGGCAATTGATCCCAGTAAAACCTCAATTGACTCTCCCACTCGAACTCGCGGGTGTCCATGATGCTGTCAGACAAAAGGAGGAGTTACGATCATTTTCAAGTTCAGTTAACAAGAACCTCAATTTTTTCCCTCTTACAGAGAGCACGATCTGATCCAATGAAATCTCGCGAAGAGCTCAGGGTAAAGGCAAACAAACCGCCAACCTTAGGCAAGGAAAAGCGTGAGTGACTAAGTTGTGATTGATGATAGATTTGCATCTGATTGTTTGAGTCCAAATACAGTGGGTAAAATAAAGGAGCTAAACAACTAATCACTAGTTAGTTCCAAGGATTTCAATTACTTTTTCCATAAGCGGCTTCCGACGGCTATGCCCGGAAGAGGGGCAGTAAGGCGAAAACCAAACATGAGCCTGCGCGCAGGCTGAACAGACAGCGGTTGGAGATCTATTGGCGGCGGTAGACCAATAACTGGCTTTATCGAAGAAACCCTTTGTTAGTTCGTGTCATTATTCTTACCTGTCTCGAACAAAACTGTCAATAATGTCTCTGGCGTGAACTTCTATAATCAGCACTGTGTTGAACTTCTTTCGATCATTCTTGGTCAGGTTTGACTGACGAACCTGAAAAAGTTTCATGACAGGCTTTACTTACAATACAAACAAAGGGAGAAAAGCTACACGACTCACTTCATAACGCAAGTCGCGTTGAGTAAAACTTCCATAAAAAATGAAAAATTGTCTCTGACGATAGAAATTTTGATTTCATGGCAACAGATTGGGATTGCACACTTTTTAGATTAGTAACATAACGTAATCTCTACTTTTTATTACAGGATCCCAAACTAGCCTTGTCCATATAACAAGCGTTACGTTCCCCTTACTCTATTTATGTACACATATCCAGTTCTAGCGTTCCTGATTAGCAAAAACAAAAAAGTTCTCCATAAATTGCAACGTTTGTTATAAGATCTGTTTTAATTTCTTATCGAATCATTTATCTATTTGTTCGTTTTTACATTTAACTATCTAACTGAGCAAAGGCCAGTGTGAACAGACCTTTTCGACAAGGTCGCTGATTTGTTTGTGCATCTTTTTAGCGTATTTTTTCATTCCCATCTTGTCTCCTTTCTTTACTTTTCTAAACACATCCTCCACTTCCCATGTCCACCAGACTTGGTTTCCAGCTAGTACCACCATTCCTTGATACTCCATCATCCAGTCAATTCTGAAAAAAAACATATCTAAAATGTCACCTACCAATAACATGTGAACTTAAAAGAGCCCTTTTCAACAGATTGTCGGAGTGTCGGAAGTGATCCAGGATTGCTTAGATTTTTCCTTAGGTCCCTTTCCTCACTTTTCTAGCCAATCAGACTCAACACTAAAACCAATCGTGACTTGGCCACCCGCGTTTTCCCGCACTTCAGGCAGTTTTGACTGTTTTATTCTGAGCTCTTATTGGCTCTTTGTGATATTTCCTATGTTCTGATTGGCTGTTGTGATTAATTTGGTTTTGGATTTCATTTCACAACACACCTATAAGAATCCCATTTTCGTTGCAACTGATCTATGTGCAAAAGAGACCTACATCTACGCAACAAGCAAGGCAGACGAAGGCTTTGAATACTTGTTTTTCGTTCTTTTTTCAATACTGTCCGGGGCGCTAGGGAAACACTTTTTTTTAACGAAAAATGCGTAAAGCTAAAGCAAACACAACCTGAGCCATTGATCATTAAAGCAAAACCCTTAACACCCTAAAATCAGTATGCATATTCTCCATACTGTTCTCTAAACATTCCTATAGTTCTGAAAAGGAGACTTTGTTTAACAATCGAGAGCTTCTTAAGTTTAAGTTGGTGATCATTTCCTTTATTCTCCTGACCTTAATGAGTGATTCAGGGGCAAGGGCGTAGCCACGGGGGGGTCCTGGGGTGCCCGTGACCCCCCTTGGTAGGCCTTCTTTTGAGCAAACAACCTACAATATTCAGGTGGTGAAAACGCCATGACAATATCTTGGCCTGCCCAATATACTCTCACTGCTCATTCCAAAACTGTAACATTAAGTAAAACATGCACGGCGTGGAGGTCTACATGACAATCTGGTGAGTAGCCT